TTTCTAACGTGGTCGTTTCTCTCTCTCCCTTCCTCTCTCCCTTTCTTTCTAAAAACAATTTTTTTAAATGTTTTCTGTTGAGGATTAAAAAGAGAAGTAAGCAAGCACAGGAGTATGTGAGGAGTCTTGAGAGCCTGCACCCCTACCCAGGAAAATCTTCTCAACCCGGCTTAGGCAGGCAGGAGAGTCTTCTCATTTATTCATTTTTTTATTCATTATCTTAGAGTAGTAGAACTTTAAAAGTAGGAAAGGAGGGTCTGTGGTGTCCTTTAATTCATTTTTCTTGTTTTTAAAGCAGTTAGATTGCTCTGTAGCTTGGCTCTAGCTCAGGGTGGCCTCTGGGGGATCTGCTGTGGAATAACCCTGAGACTGAGAATTACCACTTTTGTCAAAAAATTGAGCTTTTAATACCTAGAACTATGCTGACAAGGCCACAGACATTTATATGTAGTATTTTTCCATAAGCCAAATATATAACTGTTAAGCAAAGACATAAGATGACAATATAAACGTGGGCGCAGTGCTAGTCGATGTGAGTGAATTTCAGGAATGGGAGGTGGAGTAGGATTTAATAGTGATAGTTTGATGGTTCAGGGTCAACACTAGAGCCTGGGACTCAACAACTCTTCAGCAAATAGAAAGTTTAAGCATTTAAAAATTTGCAGGAAAATGCTTTGAATCTTTCCAGATAGTACCTCTCCTCAGGTCTGCCAGAAAGGCCATTTCCTAGCCGAACTGAATTTTATCAGTGATATTAGCAAGTATGTTTTTACACAGGTGTGCGGAATCAACAGCTATATAGTCCCCTCTTGTCCGAGGGGTGGGAGGCGGGAGGCAGACGGGAGTTCATCAGATAATCATTTCCCTTTCCCGTCTCTCTTCCCAGCCTCTGTGTCCAGATGTTTGACTGGTTTGACTACCATGGCCACATGTGTATCTCCTTTGAGCTTCTGGGCCTTAGCACCTTCGATTTCCTCAAAGACAACAACTACCTGCCCTACCCCATCCACCAAGTGCGCCACATGGCCTTCCAGCTGTGCCAGGCCGTCAAGTGTGAGTGGGGGCGCCGAGGTGGACTCTGGGGCAGTCCCTTTCTCCATTGGACCTCTCTGTCTCGGTTGGGCACTGGTGAAGCCCCTAAGCGGTCAACTTGAGTATCTGCACTTCCGTTATTCACTGTCATGTTGACATCTCTTCTGACATAACTCCTTGGCTGAAGTCCTCACCATCACTGATTGCTTGCACTTCACATCAAACCAAGGAGGAGCTGGAAGACAAAGCCTTTGAAATCAAAGCACTTTGACACCATTTTTTCCCTCATTCCCTTCCTTGGGAAATGTAAGTCAGGCAGCAAGCACAAAGAGACAAAAGGACGACTCAGGCTAGAGGTTGACGTGTCTAAGCTGAGATGCCCTTCATTCCCAGCAAAGCGGGTGGAAGCAGGGAGTAGCGCAGCCAAGGGGCCAGGTAGGGAATCCAGACTAGTAAATAGTTACTCTTGAGTGTCCATGACAATACAGTTTTGCAGTCGAATTCACACAATGTCAAATACACATGTATGTCAGGCAGTATAAAAGTCCAAGCCATAGCAAACTATCTATGCTTCAATTGAGAATTACATATATATCTTAAATGATTAAGGATAGAATGTCTTAGACCAGGCATTTCATTTGGATGTCAAGCAAAGAGCAGCGTAGTGATTCTGAACCTGCCTCCTCACCAGCCTAGAGCTAGGTGACCAAGTCTGGGGTCAGCTGGTGCCAGTTAGCTCTGGCTACCTGTACCAACCTTGACCTGGCCTTTTCCCCTGCAGTCCTCCATGATAACAAGCTTACACATACGGACCTCAAGCCTGAAAACATTCTGTTTGTGAATTCAGACTACGAGCTCACCTATAACCTAGAGAAGGTAAGATGGATGGGTTCTTCCCTTGGCCAGTGGGGGCGGCAGGTATGCTGCTTTGCCTGTCTCAGTCCTTTCTGGCCTCTTTTTACTTCTCTCTCCCACGTTTCTCCTGGTCTGGTTCTGACTGACTAAAACCAGAGTGCCAGAATAGATTGAAAGAGAGAGATTTAAGAAGACTTAAACTAGAAGGGAACGTGGAAAAAGGACCTCAGATAACTTTCTAATCTAGTGGAAATGCTTTTAAGCTTCTTGCTTTGGATTTCTCTTTTTATAAGGAAAGCTCAGCTTTCTGACTAGCAAAAAAGTTCATGGCGATCTCACCAAGGGAAGCTCTCCTTCCCTTTGCAACTTGTTACGTATATATTCTCACTCGGTCACTTGGGTGTAGTTTTCAGATGCACAGAAACTTACATGGTAGTCCATAATTATTTCTTAATCGTCTTCCTTTCGAACTCCTAAAGTGCTCTGCTGGCTATGCGGGAGGTGAGAGACTGGAGTATGTAGGGGCAGGTAGGCCAGTTAGAGTTGCTTTTTTAAGACTCAGGAGCAGATAGACAGACAGACAGATAGATAGATTAGATAGACTGACTCAGAAGCACTTCAGAGAATAGCGTCGGAACCTCCATCTGTGGTGCAGAGGGTCATTGTCTTCCTGCTTTGCTCCTAGAAGCGAGATGAGCGCAGCGTGAAGAGCACAGCTGTGCGGGTGGTAGACTTTGGCAGTGCCACCTTTGACCATGAACACCATAGTACCATTGTCTCCACTCGCCATTACCGAGCACCAGAGGTCATCCTGGGTAAGGGGGAAGGACAAGCCTGTCCAAATATGTAAGCGGGTATGGTGGTGAGGGTTGTACCCCCTAAACCTCATAACACTTTTTCCCTCCCGTCCTGCACAGAGTTGGGCTGGGCACAGCCTTGTGATGTGTGGAGCATAGGCTGCATCATCTTTGAGTACTATGTTGGCTTCACTCTCTTCCAAGTAAGTGGTTACATGACCACCTGACATTCTCATCCCAGATTTCTTTGTCTGCTGAGGACTTGCCTGCTTATTCCTCTGATTGTTTATCTTCCTGGCGGCGAGTCCTTGGCATCCCCTTCCTAGTCCTGTGCTTAGTTCTGGCTTTCTTTCCCAGACGCATGACAACAGAGAGCATCTAGCCATGATGGAAAGGATATTGGGTCCTATCCCTTCCCGGATGATCCGAAAAACCAGGTGAACTTCGAGTGGGAGGGACTTAACCCTTTTCCTTCTCTCTCTACAAATGGTCAATATCACATCATTTTCTTTTTTCTTTGACACCTCCCCTCCCCCAGCTACTCAGATGGGGGAATAAGGGAATTATCCCACAATAAGAGGAACCTCCTGATTCCTCAACCTCCCCTTCCCCTCTAGGAAGCAGAAATATTTTTATCGGGGTCGCCTGGATTGGGATGAGAATACATCAGCTGGGCGCTACGTTCGAGAAAACTGCAAACCACTGCGGGTGAGCCAGGCTGGGGATCGATAGTGCCCACCACCCAGAGGTCACTTCTTAAGGTGTCTTGCTTCTGGAATGTATTCCACAAGCACAGGGTTAGGAAAGAAGGGAAGCAATGCTGAAAGAAGACATTTTTGGTTAATAGAAAAAAGATAAGAGGGAGTGGTTTTGTGGAGGGAAGGAGATTAAGCAGCCATGTCCTTCTTGAGCCGATCAAAGATCAAAGCAGTGTTCTGGATTCATTAGGTCAGACAACAAAATAAACTACCTTTGAAGAGCTTAATGTCATGTGGAGCTAAAAAAAGATTCATGAAGTTGACAAAGATATACAAGTAGAAGGAACTTGCAGAGAATGAAGCAGTAATTGTGCTAGTGGGAAGGTAGGGTAAGGTGGAATATCAGAAATGGACACCGTGTAGCATTTGTAACTGTTGCAAGCAGAATCTTCGTCCTCCTAAATTAAAAGCTAGGGCCTTGAAGAAGGCGGTTTGTAAGGCATTGTGCCTCACCTTTTTCCTGCCCTCCACCACCAGCGGTATCTGACCTCAGAGGCAGAAGAACACCACCAGCTCTTCGATCTGATTGAAAGCATGCTAGAATATGAACCTGCTAAGCGTCTGACCTTGGGTGAAGCCCTTCAGCATCCTTTCTTCACCCGCCTTCGGGCTGAGCCACCCAATTCCAAGTTGTGGGACTCCAGTCGGGATATCAGTCGGTGACGATGAGACCCTGGACCCCCCTGCATCTCTAGCAGCAGTGGGTGTCCAATGCAGGACACTGGTGCTTTTTTATACAAGAGATCAGAGCCGGAGCCCGCTCCTCTTGGCTCCCTAGATTCCTGTGAATATGTGAAATAGTGTAAATATGAAAGAGCTTGTACCCTGCCTTGTACATAATGCTTTTCCATTCTACACTCTTCCCATCCTCAGTTGCCCCTTGTCAGTTGAGTTGGATAGGGGCAGGATGAGGTAACCAGGTGGCATCCATCCCATGTTTTATAAGGAATTTTGTATAGTCTTTGTGAAATAAAATGACGTGCTTCATCTGACCTCCATCCCCAGAGTTTGAGGTGTGGGAATGCTGGGGTGGAGGGATGAGGAGATTGGCAACCTTTCTGAGTTTGGGTATGAAGTGAGTCGCATCTTACCCTCTAAAATTAGTCAGTTTATCTAGTTTGTTTATCTAGGGGAGGGCAGTGGTGAGTGGGATAAGGTTTCTTGCAGGGTAGAATGGAAGGGTTATAAGGTGGCACTTTGATCAGGAATGATGAAGGTCGGGAAACAGGTCCGACTATTAGAGCCACCTGGACCTGGGCTGCACTCCAGGGTAGAACCAGGTATCCAGGTTTTAATTTTTTTTATTTTTTATCTTTTATTATTTTCGCGTAAATGGTGTAGTTTGAGGCAGTTGCTACAACCGGTGGGGAGATTCCCATCATGCATCTGGGGAGACTAGGATGGGCCACGGTGCTGACGCCAAGCCTTCTGGGAGGTGTAGTTCATTAGTGGAGGGGGTCACATGGGAAAGTGGGCGGTGTTTGCAAGGCGGACTGGGTTGGAGATGTCACGTGGGGTACTTCCCAGTTTGCCTTTACCCTGAACGCAGGCGCAACCCGGTACTGCTGCAGGAACTCTTGTGGCTCTTCCGGTTGGTGTAGCCAATCTGAGTGCAGAGAAGCGGGGCTGTCCGAGAGGAGTGGAGGGTTCACCTAGAGTCGCTGCCGCTGCTAGTGCTGCGGTAGGGGCACGTAGGGCAGGGGGCGGCCTAGGCCGCAGTTGCAACTATGGCTCAAAGCAGAAATGATGGAAACCCGTTCGCCGAGGGCGGTGAACTTGACAACCCTTTTCAGGTGACTTGCGCTGCTCTCCTTTGGGCAACTGGGTGGACTTCTCGGTTCTGGAGGATGGGGTTAACTCATATTCTTATTTGTGACATTTAATCCATGGAAGGGCCACCACGTGGGGGCGATGGTGACTCCAGACCAGTGAGCACCCTTGCGGGGGCGGGCTCTGTGCCTGCAAGGAACTGGTACTGGCAGTGTGGGGTGAAGGATTTGGAGCAAATGTTGGGACGAGAGTGTTAGAGCGTGACTCCCAAGGTGCAGTCCTTGGAGCCACAGGCAATTTAGAAGAGGCCCCTGTGAGTTCCTGTGAGGTGTCTGGTGCCTGCTGAGCCCCAGGTCTCTGCCCGCAGGACCCAGCTGTGATCCAGCACAGACCCAGCCAGCAGTATGCCACACTTGACGTCTACAACCCTTTTGAGGCCCAAGAGGTGAGATTCTGAAAAGCGCAAGAGAGCAGGGAAGGAGAGAGTATACCAATAAGCCCACTCTGTCTGGGTACAGCGTACTTTTCTACATGCAAAGGAAGGAAGAAAGAAACACCATGTTCTTAGCTTCCTGAGAGAGAGGCCAGTTGGCCATGGGATGCCTAATTCTTCTGGAGACACCAGGCCAACGACCCATCCAGTTGGAGCTCTAAATGCCTGGCCTGGTGGGACCTAGAACTCAACCAGGCCATAGCCAAGGTTCTCTGTCTGGGGAGGCTTGGAAGAAAATAGAGGATGCAGCTGGTAGGAGTGGAGGAGAAAACAGATTCTGCTTAGGTGTGCAATTAGAAGGCAGTTGATGAGAGGACTAGACACGTCTGTCTCAGTGGAGTAGGAAATTGAGTTTTAATAAGTTGGGGAAGTAATGTTTTGAGTCCTGGCTAAGGAATTTGATGTAAGAGGTGAACAGGGCTGCTGCAGGTTGTAAAGGAGTTGTCTGACATAAGAACTAGCTTTCTAACAACTGGGGTGGGGGATTCTGCATTAGGTAATGAATTCTAGGTCTGAAGGTATTCAGTCAGACTCTGGATTCCTGTGTTACAATGGGCTAGATGATCTGTAAGGTCTTTTTAAACCCAACAGCCACCACCAGCCTATGAGCCTCCTGCCCCTGCCCCTGCCCCGTTGCCTCCACCGTCAGCTCCCTCCCAGTCCTCCAGAAAGCTCAGCCCCACAGAACCCAAGAACTATGGCTCGTACAGCACCCAGGTAAACGGTGTGTGGGTGATGGTTGGGAAGTAAGGCCATCCCTGGGGCCCAGGACCCACATGTCTCTCCTCATACTGGGCAGGCTTCAGCTGCAGCAGCCAGAGCAGAGCTGCTAAAGAAACAGGAGGAGCTCAACAAGAAGGCAGAGGAGCTGGACCGAAGAGAGCGAGAGCTGCAGCATGCTGCCCTGGGGGGCACATCTAGTAAGTGGATCCATGACAGGGCAGAGAGGAAATCTCTGTTTCAAAGGAGTAGAAAAAAAACCTAAGAGCATGGGCACTGGAGCCAGATTGCTGAGTTGGAATTTGGGTGCTATCACTTACTAATAGTGAGCTCTTAGGTAAGTTACTTAATATTCAGTGCCTCAGTTTCCCCACTTTTAAATAAGGATAAGGTTTGTACCTGTTTGACAGGATTGCTGTGGAAGTTAAACAAGGTCACATATAGGAATTATTGTGTTTTGCTGTGTATAACATGCTCCCGTGTGTAATGCGCACCCATGTTTTTGGCCCAAACTTTCAGGAAAAAAATCTCATTTTACAAACTTCTTAATTCAACTTCTTACTTATTTATATTTAGAAACAAAACCTATTATTGTATCCCAGGGTATTCTTTTGTATATGGACATTGCTATTGCTTTCTGGAGTTATACTTTTTTTTTAACATAGAAGCATAAATAGAAGAATTAAAAACATTTATATTGCCCTGGCTGGTGCGGCTCAGTGAATTGAGTGCCAGCCTGCAAACCAAAGGGTCGCCAGCTCAATTACCAGTCAGGGCGTATTCCTGGGTTGCAGGCTAGGTCCCCAGTAGTGGGTGTGCAAGGGGCGACCACACACTGATGTCTCTCTCTCTTTCCTTTTCCCTTCCTCTCTCTCTAAAAATAAAGAAAATCTTTTTAAAAATATTTAGATAGATATGGAACTAGCACTACTTGTGTATAATGTGCATCCTTATTTTTCCCTAAAAATTTTGGGCGAAAAGGTGAGCATTATATATGACAAAATATGGTACTTGGCACAATGCTTAAAAGTTTTAAGTAATATCCCTGGCTGGTGTAGCTCAGTGGATTGAGCATGGGCCTGCGAACCAGACGATCGTGGTTCAATTCCCAGTCAGGGCACATTCGTGGGTTGCAGGCCAGTTCCCAGCAGGGGATGCACCAGAAGCAACCATACGTTGATATTTCTCTCCCACTGTCCTTCCCTTCCCCTCTAAAGATAAATAAATAAAATCTTTTTTAAAAGTTTTAAGTAAAAAAAACATTTTTTTCAAAGATTTTATTACCTGGTTGGTATAGCTCAGTAGGTTAGGCTCCGTCCCAGGGACCAAAAGGTCACTGGTTCCATTCTCAGTCAGAGCATATGCCTGGGTTGCAGTCCAGGTCCCCGTGTGCAGGCATGTGAGAGGTAACCAGTCGATGTTTTTCTCTCACATTGATGTTTGAGAGAAGGGAAGGGAGGGAGAAAGAGGGTAAGAAGTGTCAATGTGAGAGAAACATCAATCAGTTGCCTCTGCTATGAGCGCCATCAGGGGGCGGGGCCCATACCCCAGGCATGTGCTGTGACCCGGAATGGAACTGGCAACCTTTACTTTGTGGGACAATGCCCAACCAATTGAGCCACACCGGTCAGGGCTCAGTATTATTTCTATTCCTCTCCTTTATCTCCTTTGACCCAAAGTTGGAGACAGAAGAGAGGATCTAGGGTGGAAGGAGGGGGAAGTGATTCCTTCACTGTTCTCTGCCTCACTTCCTGCTCTTTTTTTGCCTTACAGCTCGACAGAACAATTGGCCCCCTCTGCCTTCTTTTTGCCCAGTTCAACCCTGCTTTTTCCAGGACATCTCCATGGAGATCCCACAAGAATTTCAGAAGACAGTGTCTACCATGTACTACCTCTGGATGTGTGAGTAGTGAAAGGCCTTTTTGGAGAAAGTACAGGTAGTAACTTGTACCCTTTCCTGCCCTGGAGCTCACACACCTAGAACTAAACACTTTACCTGTTTTTAATATTTGAGTTTAAGGTTAATCTTTTTAGGATTAATCTGTTTCTGGGTTACTCCTTTTATACAGTGTAGAACTTATTTTCTAGCCTTCTAGCATATGTGTGTTCTTGCTCTCTCCCCCTCCCTTGTCCTCATGCATAAACATTTTCTGAATCTTTTAAGTGCCTTTGCAAAGGGGGTTACACGTGATTGAGATTTGCTTGTTCTGTCTCCCTGGTGAATTGAGGAATCTATAAGGGCAGAAGGTATCTTCCTTTCCTTACACTACCACGTTTGGTGAGGGTTATCGGGTGGGCTTATATGGGAAAGAGCTTCCATTGCAGTCCAGAAGGAGCCATCATCTTGTCCCTCCATCTGTTAGGCAGCACTCTGGCTCTTCTCCTGAATTTCCTCGCCTGCCTTGCCAGCTTCTGTGTGGACTCCGGCAATGGCTCGGGCTTCGGGCTCTCTGTTCTCTGGGTCCTCCTTTTCACTCCCTGCTCCTTCGTCTGCTGGTACCGCCCCATGTATAAGGCCTTCCGGTAAGTTGGGGGGCCCAGGGTCATGGGGGGGTTTGAATGGACCCCCATAGTCCACTCCTCCATCCCTAATTCTCCCACTTGCCCCAACTTTTCTTTTTTGCAGGAGTGACAGTTCATTCAATTTCTTCGTTTTCTTCTTCATTTTCTTCGCTCAGGATGTGCTCTTTGTCCTCCAGGCCATTGGCATCCCAGGTTGGGGGTTCAGGTCCGTAAGGCTGCCGTCTCCTTTCATCCCTTCCTCCTGCTGCTCTAGACCAACTCATGGTCCCAGGGTGGGAGTTGTTCAGCAAAAGGAAATGTGTTTTTTATCCTTGGGAAGTGCTAGTTTCCTGAGAGAGGACATATTTCCAGGATAGAGCACCCAGACAGAACTCAAGACAGGCATAGATTGAGGGGAAGAAGGTCAGTCTGAGAAGGCTTACTGGAGGAGGTACATGTAATCATTGTTGAAGAGGAGAGGGGAATTTTCAACAAAAGGGTCTATATTTAGAGTGAAGGTATCTGGAAGAGAGCTTGGAAAGCTAGGAGCCAATGGTTCAAAAGCTGGGATTAAACTATGAAGAGAGTGGATGTAGTTTGGGATTCTGGTGCATGGAAAGCTGCCAGACTGCTAGAGGAGTGGCCCTCGATGGGAGGGGTGAGAACAGGGCGGGTGTGAGGCATAACCTGTGGAGAAGTTGGCAAGACGGAGACCCAGCTGTGAACAGTCCATCTTCACTGCCACGTGCTTGTCTCTTTCCAGTGGCTGGATCTCTGCTCTGGTGGTGCTGAAGGCCAACACGGTTGTAGCTGTGCTTATGCTGCTGGTCGCTCTGTTCTTCACTGGCATAGCAGTTCTGGGGATTGTGATGCTAAAGCGGGTGAGGGGCTGTGTTGAAGGTGGGGCTAGGAGAGTGAGATCCTGTGTCCCTGGGGCCCTGGGTAGAACATTTGGGAGGAACTGGGGAGGGCCAGGCTGATGGGTGGCTCTGAGCTAATGGCCCTCTGAGGTAGGAGGAGTGTTTGTGCGTGTGGGGGCGCGTGGGGGGGGGGGGGCTGGTGTTGGAGGGGAGTCCAGAAGGAAAACCTAGAGCAGCAGGCTGGAAAATGGTGGTGGTGGTGGTGGTGGGTTAGAGTGGATTGACAGTGGCTGGAACTCGCTGGGGTGATTTCTCTGCCCTCTACTTGCAGATCCACTCCTTGTACCGCCGCACAGGTGCCAGCTTTCAGAAAGCCCAGCAAGAATTTGCTGCGGGTGTTTTCTCTAACCCTGCGGTGCGAACCGCAGCTGCCAATGCAGCCGCTGGGGCTGCTGAAAATGCCTTCCGGGCCCCATGACCCCTGACTGGGATGCCCTTGCCCTGCCACTTGAGGGGACTGACCTAGCCCCCAACCCTGAGGTCTCTGGGACATGGTGAGACATTACTATTTGATGTCTCCTCTTTAGTGCTCCCCAACCCCACAGCTGTGACTGCTGAACCTGACTTAAAGGGGTGGGGAGCCCGCTGCTCCACCTACCCTCCTACTGCTCAGTCAGGCCACAATGCTGCCACCCGTCACACACCCCAACCAAGCTTTCTTCTGCTGTGCCAAGGCTGTTGCTTCGGTTATTTAAATAAAAAGAAAGTGGAACTGGAACTCATTCCTGTTTCTGGAATTTGTACTGGGAACTGGGCCTTATGAAAAAGAAAGTGTGACCGAGAATTGGAGTGGAAGCAGAGTGTGAATTCCAGAGGGAAGCTCAGGCCTGGCTTTAGGGTGAATTTTGAGCTGTCCAGGGTGGGGCAGCAGAGCCTGGTGAGACTGGGTGGCGGGCAAAGGAAGAAGAGGGGGCGGGAGTGCACCCTTGGGCATGGAGTCAGGGAGTACTGCTCCCCACTCCTTTAATGACCCGGTGAGAGCCGCTGCCTCTGCTGGGAACTCAATGGGACCAGGGTCCTCAGAGGCTGGGTGCAGCTCAAGTCAGAGCCCAAAGGGTGGTTGGCTCGGGCCTGGGTCCAGTTAAAGGTTGGGACTGGAAAAGGCCTTACCTTCTGGGCAGATCCGCCTGCCTGCCCTGTCGCCAGCTCCTGCCTCCCCCCTCCTTCAGGGTCTGTGGCCACGACTACAACTCCCAGAGTGCATCACGCAGCCACGCCCCTCACACCATCCCATTCCCATCCTCCCCCCTCCGAACGCGCTGCAGCGGGAGCTAGGGGAACTGAGGTGGTGGGGAGGGTGCGGGCGACTCAGGAGACAGCGCACTGTGGCCTCCCCACCAGCTGACCTCGGATCCCACTGGACATTCTGGGGGCACATCGATCGCCCCTCTAGAGTCACCCACGCCGATCCCTTACCTCTTCTCTAGACTTCTTTGCCATCCTCTCATTTTTACCCTCCCTACCCTTTCCTGGGTTCCCGACCTCCATCCTCTCCTCACTCCCGGACAGGCCCTTCTCGGTGCCCCTCTTCCCTAGGGAGATGCAATGAACCTGTGCCCCGGAGTCCTCATCGGCATCCTCATCGCCATCCCGGGCACGGTGCCCGTCCAGTGGCGGGCCCTCTGTGACATCCTTCCCTTGGCCCCCGCCCCAACTGGAGTCCCTGGGCCAGGGCCCAGGAGACCCAGCCAGGGGGTGGGCTCTAGAGCGAATTGGGTGGAGAGGAGGAAGGACGGGGCCTTGGGCACCTCTGACATGCTCCCAAGTGGCAGGGGGAGCAGAGTGCGGCGCAGGCAACCAGGAGGCAGGCATGATGCCCTCGCCTAGTGACTCCAGCCGCTCGCTTACCAGCCGGCCCAGTACCTGGGGCCTCACCCACCTCCGCCTCCACCGACCCTGGCTGCAGGCCCTGCTCACGCTGGGGCTGGCCCAGGTGCTCCTGGGCATCCTGGTGGTCACCTTCAGCATGATATCCTCCTCCGTCACCACCACCGAGAGCATCAAGAGGTCCTGCCCATCTTGGGCTGGATTCTCGGTGAGTTGGGTGCACAGTTGTTGGGTGGGGGAGGCTCCTTGGGCCCCACCTCTCCACGCCAGCTGCCAGTCCAAATCCTGGCCTTTCTTCCCTCTCCTGGTTCTCTCCCTCCTTATAGGGCTGGGTGTACCCTTTGGTGAGGGGCTCACTCAGGTGCCTCCCCTGCCAGGCTGAGCCTGTGCCCACTCTGTCCCCAGCTGGCGTTCTCCGGGGTGGTTGGCATTGTGTCCTGGAAGCGGCCATTTACTTTAGTGGTAGGTGCCAGGGTCTGGTGCCCACTGGGAGGCAGGTGCCCAGCACCTGAGGGATGCCCGTACACCCTCAAGAAGGGAACTGGCTCTCCAGTTCATGTCATCCAGCACGAACGTGCGTGAAGGAGGGTGGCTTCCTCCTTGGTGGTTTTCCACTCCTGAGGGTCCCAGCCCTGAATCTGCACCCTGTTTTTCCCAGATCTCCTTCTTCTCCCTGCTTTCGGTACTGTGTGTCATGCTCAGCATGGCTGGCTCTGTTCTCTCCTGTAAGAATGCTCAGCTGGCCCAAGACTTCCAAGACTGCTCTATGGTGAGATTTGAGGAGGGCGAGCCAGAGAGAACTGGTTGGGGGAGATGTGAGGGACATCTGGGTCTGTCCTGACTCGGTCTGCCTCACCCTCCCCACTCCCACTTAGGAAGGAAAGGTCTGTCTGTGCTGCCCCTCCGTCTCCCTCCTCCGGCCCTGTCCAGAGTTAGGGCAGGGACTAAAAGTTGCCCCTAACTCCACCTGTGATGAAGCCCGAGGGGTGCTTAAGGTGAGCATGCACCCCCACACATACCCGTTCTGGCTTCCTAGGGTCCTCAAAGGCCCAGAACATGTGGGATTTACCCCTTCCCAGTCCCCTCTTACACCCCTCTTTTTCTGTCTTTCCGATTCCAGAACCTGCTCTTCAGTGTCTGTGGGCTCACCATTTGTGCCTGCATAATCTGTAGCCTCTCAGCTATTATCTGCTGCATCCAAATCTTCTCCCTGGACCTTGTGCACTCGGTGAGAAGGGAGCTGGGGTCAAGGCCAAGCAGGTATAATGGGAGGGAGCAGGGGTGTGTGGGCTGGGACTGGGGCTCAGGGGGATGGTTGGTAAGTACAGCGCTGGCTTCTGAGCACCAGAGGTTGTGGATCACCTATGAGAAATGTCTGCTATTGTAGGGATGTGCCAAGAGGGTGAGGAGGGGAATGACTGGGAGTAAGAGAAGTATGTAATGCCAGTCTGGGCCCAGGAGAGGAGTCTTTAGAGAGTGGGACTAAAAGTTGGGTGGAGTCAAGAAGATCCTAGATGGGGGTGGGGATGAAGGGTTGATGTTCTGGTGAGGACAGAGAGCAGGTGGTGATTTTGGGTGCTGATGGGATCATAAAGAGGGGGAATTTTTAGACGGGCAGGGCCAGAGACGGTCCTGGGTGGGGGCAGGGTTAGAGAAGGAGCTGGTTTGGACTGAGGGAGGGACCAGAACCCAGCTGTTTTGAGGGGGCGGGGCCAAAAAAATGTACCTGAGCTGGGAGTGTGGGAGCCAGGGAACCGTCTTCCCAGAAACCAGGCTTGCTGACCTGCTTGCTCCCCAGCAGCTGGCCCCTGAGCACTCGGTCTCAGGTCCCCTGGGGCCTCTGGGCTGTACGTCCTCGCCCCCAGCCCCTCTCCTACACACCATGCTGGACTTGGAGGAATTTGTACCGCCTGTGCCCCCACCTCCCTACTATCCCCCAGAATACACCTGCAGCTCAGAAACAGACGCACAGAGGTGAGGCCTGGTGAAGTCCTGCTGGCAAAACTGAGGAAGGGGACGGGGGTTTCAGCTGCAGTTTGGGTTGGTGGGGGAGATCTTTGTGGAGGTTCCCCTCCAGGCTTTGACCATCTCCCTTTTCCCACCAGCATCACCTACAATGGCTCCATGGACAGCCCAGTCCCCTTGTACCCTACCGATTGCCCCCCTTCTTATGAGGCTGTCATGGGGCTACGAGGAGACAGTCAGGTGAGAGCAGGGCTTAGTTTGGGCCAGGGAACTGGGGCTAGAGCATGAAAAGCTGAGTGAGCTGCAGTCATTGGGTAAAGATAATATGTCTCATGATCATATAACATGATCACACCCACGGTCATGTTTGATCTTCCCTAGAGCATGGTGAGGCGGGTCGGGGAGGAAGCATTATGTCTATTTTACAGATCTGGAAACCAAGGCCCACATAAGTGACTTGTACAGAGGGACAAAGCTGGATAAGAATCTAGGTCTCCAGAGTTCTGTCCCGCACATGGGGGTGGCCATATCAGTGTGCAGGGCTGGACCCTTGACTCTGGTGTCTTCTGCAGGCCACTCTGTTTGACCCTCAGCTTCATGATGGCTCCTGCATCTGCGAGCGAGTGGCCTCCATTGTAGATGGTGAGCAGGAAGTGGGGAGGGTAGACAAAGGCTGGCCACCTGGGCCAGCAGAGAAGGGGGAGACAAAGCTGAGTTGATGGCTTGTAGGCCAGCAAGGGTGGTGGCTTCTTGGAATCCTGGACTTAACTGTCTCTTTTGAGATAAAACTGGAGACAGAGTGGCCCTCCAGAGGCTGGGCCTGAGAAAAGAGGAACTGCCTATGCCTTGTTGGGCTGGTGCTACCCAGCGCCCCCTGCTGCCCACAGTGTCCATGGACAGCGGGTCTTTGGTGCTGTCAGCCATTGGCGACCTCCCCGGGGGCTCCAGCCCGTCGGAGGACTCATGCCTGCTGGAGCTGCAGGGCTCCGTACGCTCCGTGGACTACGTGCTCTTCCGCTCCATTCAGCGTAGCCGCGCAGGCTACTGCCTCAGCCTGGACTGCGGCCTTCGCGGCCCCTTCGAGGACAGCCCTCTGCCCCAGCGACCCCCGAGGGCAGCCCGCTCCTACTCTTGCTCTGCCCCAGAGGCCCCACCCGCTCTGGGTGCCCCCACAGCGGCCCGCAGCTGTCACAGGCTGGAGGGCTGGCCGCCTTGGGTGGGACCCTGCTTCCCAGAGCTAAGGCGGAGGGTCCCCAAGGGAGGCAGCCGGCCAGCTGCAGCCCCTCCCACAAGAGCCCCGACCCGCCGCTTCAGCGATAGCTCAGGTTCCCTCACCCCACCGGGGCACCGGCCTCCTCATCAGGCTCCCCCACCACTGCTGCTGCTGCTGCCACGGTCCCACAGTGACCCAGGCATCACTGCCTCCAGCGACACTGGTGAGCACTCCCCTCACCCCACCACCACTACCAGCAAGGTTCAGGAAAGGGCAGGCACTGGGAGTTAGCAGGCCGGTGTTGGCCACCAGGATCTGGGACACTGTTGAGGTCCATGAAGAGGATGAAAGGTGAGTTCACTTCTGTGGTGGACAGTTCTTGAGTGCTGACCTCTTAGAAACAGCATCAATAACTCGGTGGCTAAAAGAGGATGATTTGTTTTGTGAAACCAATTCCACAGCTCACAGCTTGGGCCAGTTACCAAGCCTCAGTTTCTCACCTAAAAAATGGGTATAACAATAGTACTTCCACCATAGGTACTATAAAGTTACTGGGAAATGAGCTAATGCAAGTAAAATGCTCAGCACAAAAAGCACTCATCACCATTATGTGGCAAGTACTGGGGAGGATGCTGCTGTGAACGATACTGCCTTAGTCCTGTCTTGGGGAACTGTATCATCTCTGGGCTTGAATTCTCACGGGAAGTGGGTAGGACGGGTGGGTGTGTCCACTGGGCACTTCCATTCAGTCCCTGGCTCCCTCTCCTTCCCAGCTGACTTCAGGGATCTTTATACCAAAGTGCTTGAGGAAGAAGCTGCTTCTGTTTCCTCTGCAGATACAGGTCAGGCGTGTGGTTAGTGCCCAGGGGTCGGGAGCAGAGGGAGTGCTGCCTGGCCCTCTGCACCTCCCACCCACCCAGTCTGCCTCTGCCTCTCTCTCCAGGGCTCTGCTCTGAAGCCTGCCTCTTCCGTCTAGCTCGCTGCCCTTCCCCTAAGCTGCTACGTGCTCATTCTGCTGAGAAGCGACGACCTGTTCCCACCTACCAGAAAGTCCCCTTGCCCTCGGGCCCTGCACCTGCCCATTCACTGGGGGACCTAAAAAGCAGCTGGCCAGGCCGGGGCTTGGTCACTCGTTTCCTGCAGATGTCCAGGAAAGCCCCAGACTCTAGTGGAAATGGAGCCCATGGGCATAAGCAGGTAGGCGTTAGGGAAACCTAGGAAGATGCCCAGGAAAGCCTGGAACTTCAGGTTGGGCCACAATGATGTTCTCGCCTATGTCCCCCTTCAGGTGCCCCAGAGCCCTTGCGGACGACCAGGGCGAGAGAACCTCCATCTTCGAAGCTGTGGGGATCTGAGCTCCAGCTCCTCCCTGCGGCGCCTCCTGTCTGCCCGCAGGCTGGAGCGTGGTACCCGCCCCCACAGTCTCAGCCTCAATGGGGGCAGTCGGGAAACTGGGCTCTGATGTGGGCTTCTTGCTACATTGAACAGATCCAGATGAATGCTGGGCCACAGGGCACCAGCTGGTCTGGACCAGCAGCCTCCAGCATTCCCTTACACTGGCTGACACAAAAAGAAACCTGCTGTACACCCCAAAATCATCCCTTTCCCTCCTACCTCTGGGGGGCTCCTTCTGCTTGCCTCTGCTGCTCTGGCCTGGGAGAGCTTCTGTCATGTACTGCATGAGTAATCAGGCTGTTGGGGGAGATGCCCTGCTTACAGCATTGGAGAAAGAAAGTAATCAAGTCCTACCGCACAGCATGAGAGTAGCTCTCTGATTTGCCAGGGGCACTATAGCCAGAACAAGGCATGTCCCAGGTATTTAAACATAAGGGGCCGAATGCCTGTGCAATTGGGTGGTGAAGCATGAAGAGTCTTAAAAATCTGGGTGGCTTTTCAGCTCTGCCACCTGTAGCTGCATGACCTTGGGCGAGTTATTTAACCTTAATTTCCTGACCTGTAAAACATTGTGAGGACAAATGTTTGTAAAACTCTGAACACTACATAAGCCTTCAATAAATTTCAATTTTCCCCTTCACTTCTGGGAAATTTTGTTCTAGCATCCCGCATAGATGAAACTCTCTCAAGACTTACATTTCTTTCCAGCTGCCACACTGTATCTCCGCTCCTTTGCAGGGGAGAACATTCTCTTCTTCCTTGCACTTCCTCACCCACTATTCTTCCCAGGCACTGCTCTTGATAAAGTTTCCAGCAACCAAAAGGTGACCATTTTTCAACCTCAAAGAAGCACTTACCCAGAAAATCAGTATCTTTCCTCTTGACCTTTCCCTCTCTTGTCTTTGAGAATGTCCTGTTCTCCTATTTTTCCCCTACTCTCTTGGTATCCTTTGCAGCTTCTATACCCCCTAGTGTACTACTTAACATCAGAGGCCCCCAGGGCTCTCTCCTTGGCTCTTTTGTTTTCACTCTGTCTATAGATGATTCTATGAAGATCCATGGCTTAAATACTACCTATGTGTTCATGGATGACTCCCTCCTTGACCTCTCTATGGGCTCAAATCTCCAACTTGACATCTCTGCTTGGATGTCTAATGGGCCTCTCAGCCTTGACTTGGCCACAGCTGGACTCGATTCCCACCCCCAGCACCTGGTCCTCTTCCACTGTTCCTTCTCAAGAAGTGGCCTCACCACTCAGCCAGCTGCATATTCCAAAAGCTTGGGACTCAGCCTGATTCCTTCTTTTCTTTCATTCAACATACCTAATTCTACCCTGAAATCATCCCTGTCTCACCAGCTACGTAGTTCAAGCCACCAGTTTCCGTCAGCACCTGAATCGATCTATTTCCTCATTTCCTAACGATCCATTCTCCACTCAGCAAAATAAGAAATCATGTCACCCTGGCTGGTGTAGCCCAGTGGATTAAGTGCCAGCTTACAGACCAAAAGGTTGCTGGTTCGATTCCCAGTCAGGGCACATGCCTGAATTTCGGGCCAGGTCCCCAGTAGGGGGCTTGAAAGAGGCAAGGGATCACTATTTCTCGCCCACATCATGTTTCTCTCCCTCTCTTTCTCCCTCCTTTCCCCTTTCTCTAAAAAATCAGTAAATAAAATCTTTAAAAAAAGAAAGAAATGACACATCAAGGTTCCACTAAAATCTAATGTCTTCCCATTAATATTTAGAATAATCTACAAACTCCTTCTGAGACCACGGTCGGATACTCCTGGATCTGCCTTGCACAGGGGCCTTTGTACCTGCTCTTTCCCAAGCATTAAACATTCTGGTCTATGGCTATTGCCTTCACCTAAGCCAAATTTGGATCTTCATTCCATTCCCACCTTCTTATTGAGCAATGTCCAGTCATTTTATCACACTGCCATTTTGTTTTGAACACTTACCACTATCTGAAATTATCTTGTTTTTGTCTGTGTCGTCCTGTAGAATATAAGAGACCCAATTTGCTCATTGCACTGGGCCTTACACTTAGTAGGTCCTTAACAAACTCAAGTTGCTGATATGGCAGAGCGGGACCCTGTGGTTTGGGGGATGGCTGCGGTACCCTACTCCGAAGGAAGGGGCACTGCTCACAGATGGCGTCAGCCTGCAAGGCATCTTGAATAACTCACCATCATAACAACCCCGCCTCAGAGAAGGTTGGGGTGTGGCCGGGACGGCAAAATAAGGTAGCAGGATGTGAAGCCTGGGGTTCCCAACGGGGCAATTTCTGGACACTGAACATTCCCTACTCGGAGTGTCCCAGAGAAGGAAGCTCAAGAACTCTGCTTAGTTTCCAGGGGCTGGACTCCTTGAGGGAATTTTCTCCCTCGCACCACCCAGCCTCCCTTCCTTTACACTGTATGCTGCCCAGTGTATGTCAAGGCGCATGCGTGTTCCACGACCCTTGCTCCCTCCCAGTACATCCCAAAAGTGCTTGCGCGCCGTCTGGGTTACAGCTAGTCGGAGAGAGCCGTTTGTTCCTAGAAAAACCAATAATAACGTGCTGAAGGGGCCTGCGACCCGCCTCCAGACCACTAAAGGTCTACCTTCCTAAGCGAGGCCCCGCCCAACTGGCCCTGAGCTTCTGGCGCAGTGGGTAGCTTCCCGGCTCTCACACGCGGACTCTGAAAAGCCTCATTCTCTAGCCCCGCCCACCCTGCTTCGTAGACAGCGTTGGGATTTCCCTGCGCCTCCGGTTGGGGTTGCTGTTTTACTTCGCTCACGGTAGGCGTAATGGATGTGACACCATCTGGATCTTAACTCTCCCCTCCCGGCGTTTGCACTTTATCTTTTTATCATCATTACTTGTAGGGATGGTCGTAATTTACTAATAAAGAAGAGGGGATAAAAATTTTCGAATTCTCCTCTATCCACTTGCTTATTGAGGGGTGGAGCAGAAATAAGGTCTGTGTAATTTATCTAGTCTCCAACCATTGGAAAAGTGCTCACTGGTACCAGACTAGTGCCAGTCTCTATGCTACGCATCGGGGATACGGCCATTGGGGATGGGAAGGGAGTGAGGACAGAGCTGGCTGTACCCTACCGGGCTTACGCACTGACCCATCAGCAAGCAAACGAATTAGCAGGGCACTGAATGCTATAACTGACATTAAACCACTTATGCAATTAATTGTGATAACAGCTACAAACGAGATGTAAGGATATGAGCTTGTGTTACAGGAGTGTTATGTGTGGAGGGAGAGAATTTTTGGAGAAAATGATGTCTGAGATGCATTCTGAAAGATGATAGGCATTAACCAGGCTCAGTGGAGGTGAAGAGTGATGTGTATACTGAAGGAAATGCCTTTACGAGCACTCTGAGGTATGGATTTAAAACAAGGGGCAAGTCCATGGCAGATTGTAATTTGCACCTCCCCACCTACCGTCTTATTTCTACACAGCAGCCAAAATGATCTTAAAAATATAAATCTGACCTTGTCACTTCTCTGCATCAAACTCATCAGTGATTTTCCATCTTAGGACAAAATTCAGGCTCCTTACTATGTCCACCAAGGCCTACAGAATCTGGCCCCCAACTATCTTTTCTAAATTCATTTCTTACAATTATCCCTATCACTGGTTCTAAGACTCCCAACCCCTTTATTTTGCTTCACAGTCCTCATGACCGTGTGAAATTATGTGGATTTTGTTGTTGTTGTTGTTTTGTCTATCAGCCACTAGGACATAAACTCCATAAAGCCAGCAACTTTATTATCTTACTGCTCTGTCCACACCATCTAGAACAATGCCTGGCACATAGTAGATGCCTGGTTATTATTTGTTGGATGTGTGACTTGGTCTGGCTGCTGTAGCTCAGTGGATTGAACACTGGCCTGTGAACCAAAGGGTTGCAAGTTTGATTCCCAGTCAGGGCACATGCCTGGGTTATGGGCCCGGGCCTGGTGGAGGGGTGCATGAGGGACACCTGCATATTGATGTTTCTCTCCCTCTCTTCTTCTAAATATAAATAAAATATTTTAAAAATTTAAAAAAAAAAAAAAAGGAATGTGTGATTTGGGAAGCACATAGCAAGGGTGCCTAACCCAGTCAGGAAAATGGTATTGATGGCACTGATACTAAGGCCGAGGCTGTAATGATGAAAAAGGAGAGTTATTCATTTTCTTCCAACGGAAGAGAAGACAGTACTCATGACACGGAGGAGAGCAGAGGCAAGATGCAATGTAGCCTGTTAGAGGAATGGGACTGGAGATGCAAGTGCAGATGTGAGAAATGAGAGTGGAACAAACATCCTGTAATTTGAGGAGGGAGAGTGGTCGGTTCAGAATTTATATTTTAGTTCGACTCCCCAGCTCTTCTCAGAGAATGGATTGGAGGACAAAAGTAGAGCTTACAAGACTGAGAGAGCTGTTTCTGTAGTCTAGGAGAGAAATAATGGGGAGAAGGGTATAGGGAGAGGACAGAGTGGAGAATGAGCCCCATGGGAATATAAGGCTAAAATAAAACAAACAAAAGTTTCTCAAGTTAAAAAAGAAGCCCCAGATTCTGGGAGGAAGGGGTTCCATTTAAGAAGAAAGAGAACACAGGAGGAAGAACAGGTTTGTCTGGGGGAGATGATGATCTCATGACGGTCCTGCTGATGTGTCTGTGAGACGCCCAGAGGAAAGTTCTGGCGGTCAGAGTCAAGACTGTCACACAAGTCAATCCCAGGAGGAAGACTGGCATTGGAGTTGGATATTTGGGCACCAAAAGCAACTGGAAGAGAATCAAAGCCATGGACTTGTCTCTCTGGAGAGAGCATGATGTATGAAAAGAGAAGACGTAGGATAAAACCCTAAGGAACACACTCAGATAGAAACAGATGAAGACTACACAGGAAAAGGAACAGACAGAAAAGTGGGAGAACAGATCTAGCTGGTGTGGCTCAGTTGGTTGGAGCATTGTTCGATAAGCAAAAGGCTGCAGGTTTGACCCCCTGGTCCAGGCAAGGGTGCGTGAGACCCCCCCCCCCTCCAGTTTGGACACGTACAATCCCTGGCCTGGGCGCAACCAATCGATGCTTCTCTCATATCGATGTTTCTCTCCCTTCCTCTCTCTCTCTCAAAAAGCAAATGGATGCCCCGGCTGGTGTGACTCAGTGGACTGAGTGCTGGCCTGCAAACCAATAGTTGCTGGTTTGATTCCCAATTAGGGGACATGCCTAAGTAGCAGGCCAGGCCAGGTCCCCAGTTGGGGGCATGAGAGAGGCAACCAATCAATGTGTCTCTCGCACATCGATGTTCCTCTCCCTCCCCTCTCTCTAAAAATAAGTAAATAAAATCTTTAATTTAGAAAAAGGCAAATGGGGAAAAAAATGTCCTCAGGTGAGGGTGTAAAAAGAAAAATGGGAGGACATCCAGCCAGGAGAGTGCAGTCATAGAAACAAAGGAGAATACTTCAAGAAGGGAGGGATCAAGGCAAGAGTTTTGGAAATGAGGAAACTGAAGCTCAAGAGAGGTCAAGTAACTTCCCTATACCTTGGATCTAGTGAGTAATGAAGCAAAGATATCAATCCTGTGAAACCACTGGTCTTCTTGCTAAAACACCAGTTGTTCCTATTGCCTCTCCTTAAG